TATTTCTGATCTCTTGAGAATATCTTTCATGTCATGTATATCCAACAAGCAGCTTCTTCATTGAGTTGCAACCAATGGGGTGCTATCTCTAGATATATTTATTTTTCTTTTTTTCAGCACTTGTTTGAAACGAATTTAGGTTTCGGCACATAGTGTAGTGTGCTATGCCCAAAGATTATTATGGCTTTATGTTCAGAAACGCCATACATAAGCAACTGCTTCAAGCTGTGTGGGATAATATGGCTGCTGCACAACTTGTCAAATAATTCAGGAAAATGATGGTTGATTGTTTTGCATGGCCATTACAACATTAGACACAGAAAGAAGCAAAATGGAGTGCATCTTATTGGTTTCGTCAACTATCTAGTCACTTTCGCCATAAGTTTCATCCCTTGTACAGATTCATCATTGTGCATGTTCTCCATGGACTGTGCATGTTCTTGATGTTTGAGACAACTTCTGCCTTACACCATGAACAAATTAAACTCTGAATCTATGTTCATACAGTATACACACCATGTAAGTAACCAGATTAATTAATATATAATTATAAGGTTGTGATGACTTGCAAGACAAAACTCAGATGGCTTGTCTGACCCATGAAGTCAATGAATTTCTCAACCTATGGGTATATGCTGTTCATATCTATGTGTGTGTGTGTTTGTGGCTTTAATTCCGATCCTTCTGCAACTAGCCCATCTGCCCATGTGGCTGCAATTCACCAGCCTTATCCTGCTATACAAATCTAGGTCAGCAGACATACATGCATGCAATCTGAGTTTGGGATGCCATGCATGTCTACATCCGTTTTTTTGACAAATTGACCCTTTTCAAAAACTTATTTCGAGACTGACCCCTGCCAAATACTTCAACCAAAACTAGGCTGTCGGCTCAGCGCCAAGCGCATTGGCGCTGAGGTTGTCCGTGTCAGCGCCAACGGGACTGGCGCTGACATTGTGCCACCGTGGCGGCCGGGCCGATCCCCTAGCTGACGTGGCAGCTACCTCAGCGCCAACCGCTTCGGCGCGGAGGTGCCCAACCTTAGCGCCAAGTAAGTTGGCGCTGACCTTGGCTACTTAGAGCCCGGCCGAGGCCGCCCCAGCCAGTTCTTCCTCCGTTTTTTCCCCAGCCGCCGCCTAGGGTTCGGTCGCCACCGAGTTCTCCTCGCCCAATCTCCCCCAAAAACCTCTCTAATCGAAGGTGATTTGTGCGGCATTGAGTTTGGGATCGGAAGAGAAGGTAAACCCCTCTATAAACCCTAAGTTACCCAAAGTTTTATTGGATATTTTGCATTGTTTTGGTTGTAGACGTGGTTTGATAATAGTTGGCTAAGGATGGATTATTAGATGGATAATATGGGTGGGGATGAAGTGTGGAGGTGGCATATCTTTATCCATTTGGTTGTTATTGATACATTTGACAAAATATATTTGGGATGGATGTTTGGTGATGCACTAGGGTTTGATGGGAGATGGATGTGTGGTGATGGCCTAGGATGTGGGATGGATTTGTGGTGATTGAGAGGGTTTGAAAGGGGTTGATGTGTGGTGAAGGGTAGGTAATTTGTAGGAGTAGAGTTTTTTTTTATCAATAATGTGTAGTATTTGAGTAATGTACTTATTTATTGGAAAAATTAGACATGTTGTTAGCTTTTGAAGTATTGGTATTGCAATGGTAATTACATATTATTTTCAAGTAATTAATGTTTATGCATGGGTTAAAAATTGTAGATGGATAGATTGGTCCGGCTTCATTATGGTGGTTGTGTGGTAGATGAAAGTACACATGGAAGCCAATTTGAGGGAATGACAGTTAGACAATTAGTGTTTTTTGCGAAGCCTACCTTTGAGGAGTTAATGTCTCGCATCAAGCATGAATTGAATTGGAATGATGAGTCGGTTGGTATGCAAGGGAGATACGATGTGGGCGGCGGTGTCATGTCACATAAATTTATGTTAGACTTGAATGGAGAGATCGAATGGCCAACATATATAGATATAGTATTGGGGTCACATTTCAAATCTCTTGAGGTGTTTGCATGGAAGAAAGATGGTAGGATAGGGAAGAAAGAACTTATAGACCCTAATGAAAGTCCACTCATAGAATCACCCATTAGCTGTCACGAACTGTCGGAGAGGTGTAGTAGGAAGGAAGAATTGATTGAGGAAGACGTGGAGGGGGGCGAGGGAGTAAATGATATGGCGGATGTGGAGGTCAGGGAAGAGAATGACCCGGGAAGGGAGGAAGTACATGCAGAGGAGAATGTGCCGTTAAGGGAAGAAGTACATGCAGAGGACAATGTGCCGTTAAGGGAGGAAGTCAATGTGGAGGAGAATGTGCCCGGTAAGAGAGGAAGGAGATGTTGAGGATGGTCGGGAGGTAGGAGATGATGTGGAGTTGCCTGAGGAAGAAGCGAATGCTAAGAATGTAAGTATGGGCCTAAGGGAGTTGGCTAGGCTGAAATTCTATACCCGAGAGGAGTGTGAGGAGGCTATGATACGCAGTGGATTGAACCCAGGCTGGTTGGAGTATGATACAGAGGATGAATTGGATGAGTCCGCTTCCGACTCCGATGATGATCGTCCAGTGCGTAAGATGTCAGAGCATGAAAGGACTGTGTTTGCGAAACTGGTGGGTAGAAACCCGGAAATAACTCAATTCGAGGATCTTACCAGATCTGGGCTAGCAATTGCTGATGGGGATCCACAATATGACGGTGCCTTCGAACCAATGTGTGATGAACCAAGGAAGGGGTTGGAGTTTCGATCGATGGATGATCTGAAAATATGGCTACAGAGTTATTCTATCCGTGTCCACCGGCCGTACCATGTGAAGGAATCTAACGCGTCAGTAAAGTATACTGTGGCTTGTCTCGATCGCCATTGCAAATGGCAGATTAATGCAAGGAAAAGTGGAGGAGATAGGTGGCGGGTGACTAGGGTGGGCGAAGACCACACATGCTGTAGTGCGGAAGTAACCGGCAAGCATTTGCAACTTACTTCAAGGTTTATTGGAAACAGGTTACAGGCATTTGTGCGAGCTGAACCAACTTTATCTCCAGCAGCGATTGTCGAGGCAGTTGAGCAAATATGGCACTATCGGCCTACGTATGGCAAAGCATGGCGTGCTAAGCAAGTTGCTATGAAGGTCATTTGGGGAGATTGGGACGAGGCGTATGTTCGCTTGCCTACACTGATGCGTGCCATCAAAGCAAAGAACCCTACCATGCATTTCCGTGTTGAGGCTCATCCCGAGAAGTCCAGGATGGTGGATGGAGTACAGAGGCGAGTATTTGGACGTGCATATTGGATATTTGGCCAGTCCATAGAAGCATTCAAGCACTTGAGGCCGGTGCTAGCAATTGATGGCACTTTCTTAACCGGTAAATACCAAGGTACATTGCTCACGGCAATAGGGGTCGACGGCCAAGTCCCACCTCAGCGCCAGATTGGCTGGCGCTGAGTTTCCCACAGTCAGCGCCATTATGGCTGGCGCTGAGGTCCCAGCCCGCAAGCCATCCAGAAGGCTTGCTGGTCTGGGCCTGGGGGTTGCGGCCAAGTCCCACCTCAGCGCCAGTCCGGTTGGCGCTGAGGTTGGGCACCTCCGCGCCGAAGCGGTTGGCGCTGAGGTAGCTGCCACGTCAGCTAGGGGATCGGCCCGGCCGCCACGGTGGCACAATGTCAGCGCCAGTCCCGTTGGCGCTGACACGGCCAACGTCAGCGCCAATGTGTTTGGCGCTGAGGCGACGGCCTATTTTTGGTTGAAGTTTTTGGCAGGGGTTAGTTTCGAAATAAGTTTTCCAAAAGGGTCAATTTGTCAAAAAAACGGTGTCTACATTGCAGAAGCATTTCACATGAAAAAGGAGGGGGGATTAATCATTGATGCTCTTTCTTGTCACAAAATCTAACCAGGTGTGAAGAAGACTGAAGAGCTGGATGGAAGGATGGGCAATTCATTTCTTGAATTTAAGGCAATGTAGCTGCACATGATGGACAATGACAATTGACAAGCGCAGTGGAATGCAAGAGATTATTGTATTTTAGGGGCAGAGGTTTTAGGCTTCACCCAAAAAAAAAAAACTAAGATGGATATTGCACAATCCTTGTCTCCTAAGGGCATGTTTGAACCTCCATATTAGTAGCATGCAAAACGAGACACCTCATTACCATATAATTAATCGAGTATTAATTATTATAAATTTGCAAAATTAATTTATTTGGTTTTAAGAAACTTTTATATTATTTTTTCCCATAAAACACACCATTTAACAATTCGGGAAGCGTGATAATAGAAAGCGAGAAAGTTGTAGTTTGAAGTTGTGGAAAAGAATGCAGCATAATTTCTATAGCAATATATGGTATTCTGATTCCAATGTAATGAAGGACAAAATTAACTTTATTGAATTGAGTTTATTTTTTAGTGCATACTACAAACTTAGCGCTTCCTCCATTCCTAAATACATGTCAACGACACTATTCATGTTTATATATTTACTTCATCTCCCTTTTGCAAAAGAATGTAAATATCTAGAAAGATGCTAAATTATTAAAGTGATTTGCATCATAAACATATGCATTAAAAGCATTAAATTATCATAGCAGACTATCCATTCAAAAATTATTAATGGTCGAAGTTCAAACACTGCCGATTAACTGTGACAATTATAAGGGACCGGCGGGAGTAAAAGCCGTATTTTATATATAAACATGAATAGTGTCGGTGACAATTATAAGTCAGAATAGCCTAATTGGCCTTTCTATTGAACTGAATGGGCCTGTGATATAACCTGCATCAAATCCCATCCAAGTGCACATTTGGCCCATCAAGGTGGCTTGCAGCCTTGCAGATGGTCCATGATTAATTCTTTTACTACTATGCTTTCTTTATAATTTTCATGCCTAATATTGACAAGAATGAAAAGGAGGAAGAACCAAATAAAAAAATAAAGGGAAAATTGTACTGAGTTATATAAGTAAAGAAAAGAAACTATACCAATCTGGTGAGCTAACTCATGTTAATATCATGGAAAACATAAATAAATAAAATAAAAATAACACTGATTGAAATTGTCACGCTTGGCCATTAAGCATGGCAGGTTTATCCATACAAGTTAATTACACCACATTACAGCAATCTCACAGCACATGAGGTTGGTAAGTCGTCGAGAGGTAAAAGCAGAAAGAAATGAAGGAAAATGAGTTACATGGCAAAGGAGGCCCAAGGAAAAATGGAGCTACATGAGTAGACCATAGTCTTTGCTGCGATGGACCTGGAACATTTCAGCTCTTCGAATTACACCATCCATCTCGTTCTTGGTCCTGTCGCTACAAAGGGGCCTGTTTTGAAGGACCGTTTGGCGAAACTTTTCCCAGAACATTCAAAGCCTTCATCCGTTGCAGCTCTTTCCCTGCGAAATGATATTATTGTGTGCTTCATAATGCACATTCTTGATAATGGAAACAAGAAGAAATTATGCCGAATTACTTGACACGTTCTAGTAATGATTACAGATTGAGCAACAATGAAATGAATTAATGGCACGAGCGTCTGTAGCAAAAGTTAACATGCACGCCTCTCAGCATTTCATAGCATTGATATTGACATTTCTAATGTCCATTGCAGTAAATGTTATTGGGATTGAGTGATTATATCATCAGCTATATGTTGATGGGTCTCAAATTCATAACTAGTATTGCAAAGGAAACTAAGGGATCGGGTCAACTTTCAAGGGCAAATAAGGATTTTACCATAGTTCAAATGCATGGGCATCACATAGATGTTAGTTGGATGGCACCATGCATTGTAACTTCGCATCAACTACATAATCCTATGATGATGATGTGTTCCAGCTCAATATGCACTAATTTTGTTTCATAATATAAATACTGTCTTACTAAATGCAACGATTAAGTGTTTCAAGTTCATATGAGATTAGCAGCAAACTCTGTATGATATACTACCATAGATAAAAACTATATAAGAAACAGGGATGCAAGAGATGCAATATATAGCATTAGGGTTCCTTTCCTTCAGATCATCAGATGTGGCAGCAGAGGTATGCTACGCTACAGAACAGTCTAATGATATGATGCAGCCCTAATATTTAAAAGTTACGGGAAACAGGAAATGGCAGGTAGTTTATTACCTTCCTCCACTAATAAGTGAATTGCCCTTTTCTCCAGATCAATTGCATGCATGCTTCGATCAGCCGCCGAGAGGGACCTAAGCACTGGAGATAGGTGAAATGAAGTAAGTACTATATGTGGAAAAAAATCTATGGATTATCACAAGGTTATCCAGATATCTTACTTCGCATATAACCCTCCTGAGTTGACCGATCACAGCTCTCCAAATATGTCTGTAACCGATTAAATCTCGCATTCCAGTATTGATTGCTTGACTTATGGGTATCATCTTGAACGGTAGTACCAGGAGCTACAGGAGGCTCATTTTTCTTGTTCACAATTTGTTCATTTGTTTTTTCAGGAGATTTAGGAGACACTATGCCTCCAGATTCAGCAACAGAAGATGGCAATTCTGGCTTATTGGTCTGATCATGTTGCACAGCAACAGAAGATGGCAATTCTGGCTTATTGGTCTGATCATGTTGCACAGCAACAGAAGATGGCAATTCTGGCTTATTGGTCTGATCATGTTGCACAGCAACAGAAGATGGCCATTCTGGCTTATTGGTCTGATCATGTTGCACAGCAACAGAAGATGACAAATCTGGCTTATTGGACTGATCATGTTGCACAGCAACAGAAGATGACAATTCTGGTTTATTGGTCTGATCATGTTGCACAGCAACAGAAGATGACAAATCTGGCTTATTGGACTGATCATGTTGCACAGCAACAGAAGATGACACTTCTGGTTTATTGGTCTGATCATGTTGCACATTTTGCTGTGTCTCCTGCTCTTTTGTTTTGTCTCTTCCATTACCCTTCACCTCCTGAGAAGAACTCACTTTACTATGGTCATTTTCCACTTTTCTTCGTACATAAACATTATGATACCCAGGACTTGAAGGAGCATCAGACCGTTTGGTGCCCACGGTCTTTCCAGGCTCTGTCGCAGTACCTTTATCCTTTGGCAGCGGTGAAGTGCCCTGAGACATATTTACAATGTCTGCACCTTTCTTTGGCAGCTCACGCGATGTTACTTTCTTCACTGTGGATGCTAGTTGCTTGTCACTAGCTGGCATGGCTATTGGCTCCTGCTACACTTTTCTACATTATATAATCGAAGTTAATGGAACCTGCAATACACAAGATGCTGTCCTCAATAAGATGAACAACCATCACAAAAGATAATTAACTAGAAAGACCCCATCTGCTCAAATATAGCTCCCCCCCCCCCCCCCAAAAAAAAAAAAAAAAGGTGATAGCGAAGCAATGTAGTTTTCTATTGAAGATCGTTGTTTTCTGTTTGATGCAAGTTCATGAATTTGACACAGGCATTACAACTGAGACTCTTCAAAATAAAATTGAAGAGAATGCAACAAATGGTGCAATATTCTAATATTTGTTCTAAAACAGGAAAACATACAATAGAAAATTATTACAGGAAATAATTTAAACGGTAACTAGTGATAAGCTTCATGTGCAACTTAAAGTCTTTGATTTCTGCAGTTTGGTTTTACCAACTGCTAGATATATCCCTGATTACACTAGCCACATAGTCGCACTTTGCGCGACTTAGATCCAGTTTAAGAACTTGTGTATATGGTTTATTAGTTTAGCTTAGCTTTTAAGAAGGTTTTGACATCAGTTAATTTATTTACAAAATATATTGGCCTAACCAACTATAGATTTAGCTAACTTATACTATATGTTTACAAAAGGAATCATTGGAAGCCTCCTGTGTTTTTTTTCCCTTCATAGTCTTTGCCCCCTCTCTATTTGTTTCATGTGTCTAAGAGGAGGCACTAGAAACCTCTGGAAATCCCCATATGTTTAGCCATTTTGTGTTCTTTTATTAATGTGGCCATTCTTTATCCAAACTCTTTATCCGATGGTCAATATGTTTTTTATGGTATGGCATATCCTTATGCAAGAAAGCTTGCTGCTTTCACTATATATATAAGATAAGATGCTTAGAATTCACCCAATGAATTAGGAGAACAGTTTGATTTTTTTAAAAAAAAGCAATGCAAAACTAGATATTTTCATGGCAATAATTTATATAGATCTTGGCTGAGTTCTCTTCTGTTAAGGAAGAGTTAATTAGATATTGAAAGAGGCAGCAAACCATCAATTCCAGAATACTTTCACAAATAAAAAAATGGACTGAATAATCCACGTTTAAAAATGTTTAAACTTGAATACTGTCATAGAGATGAACATATGTTACATATACAGAAAAGGGGTATAATCTACCTATAAACAATGGCCATATGCTAAAAAAAGAATGCACAAGAAAAGGGAGCAACGGTGCATTATTTTTCACAATATCATAAGATCCCATGTCAAGATGGTTTGACATAATTTTTATCTGTGCATCTCTAGTGTCATATGGAAATAATTTGCTAATACAAGGGGAGGCATACTCTTGAATGATCTTCCCATGAAAGGCAAACACTTTTATAAAAAGAATATATTCATTTGGATGGGTAAATGCACATATGCCTCTCAGGTAGATGCCCATGGTTGGGCATGCAATGAACTTCATGCGCCAAGTTCTAACAAATGTTAGTGGAAGCATAATTTTTGGTCACACACAAAACAAGTGTTTTACTTTTATTCATATGTTTGACATGGCTAACTATACTATAAAACTTGGACCACCAATAATCTATTTTTGAAATTGTTCAGATAGGATGAATGGATGTCGTATTATTAGATTTGCCATTCAACTTACTCCAATAATATTGTATAGTTTTAGGTATTTACAAATTTATCAATAAAATAGTAGTGGTCAAAATTTGCATAATTGAGCCAATTGTGTCGAGTATTTGTACACAGAGATAGTATCCCTTTCAGCACAAGTAGAATAGTAAAGAGAATATTCCATTAGGCAAAAGGAGAAGTGGAAAATCAACGAGACTAGCACAGTGAATAGAATTAGTTCTAGTAAAAGTGAACAAACATCCATATGTATCTAGCACAGTGAACCATGCAAGATTGATTATCGTGATTTTAGTAAGCCTGAAAAAATTAACATGTGAAGGTTGATGTTTACGTTGAGATTCCATGGCATATGACAGTAAAATATCAAGCATAGAGCTTATTAATCAAGATATAAGTGAACATCATAACTTCAATCATGGCCTAAGCTATCTTTTATTTCCTAGTTATATCAGGAACAGCAAATAAGGAACAAATGCACCTTTTTTTATTATTATCGTACTGTCATTCAGGATCATGCTACTGTGGAATTCAAAGTCTTTCCATGATCATGCTATTGTCAAATTTTTGGTCCAGAAAATACAAGGCTATCTGGCTATATTGCCATCAATGCATGGACATTGCTTTATGTAAAACAGAAAAATAACATAGCCACAAAAAGAAAGAAAAAATAGTTCTTAAAAAATTGAGCAATTCACGGGCAGATAAGTTTACCCTCTCACTATAAACCACAAAGAAATTGGTCTTGACCAGGAAAAGAGACCTTTGTAAATTCAAATTGTTCATATCTTATCCCTGTCATCCTACAGCAGTTGCAACCAAAGTGGCATATGCATTCACATTCAGATGAAACCAAATTGGACAATCAAAGGGGTTAAAACCGTTGCTGTGGAGTGCAATGACTAGATAAAATTTAAACTGAAGTGGAGGGCACTGTATTTTACAAGAAAACCTGAGATTGCATGTCTAAAATTAAGCCTCCCACAAGACTCGGACACAATTGAATAACTGCATTAACTTTACTTAGAGAAGAAGTAAATGCATGTAATTAAGCTTAGTCCATTATTACAGGGCTTTCATACCATAGGCTCAAAATTTAAACATTAGCTTTGTCCATCTACTGTTCTTTAGTAGCCGATGAGAATCAGCACTTCAGCAGTAATAAATAAGATTCGATCATTTCCTTGTTTTTCACATCTCAAGATTGCATAACTTGCAATATAAACCTAACAAAACTAATTGTTCAGAGCAACCTGGAATTCACAGAACCAGCATAAAATGGCAAGCTAAAAAAAGAATAAAGACTTTGGCGATTGTCTTTTTCTTAATGAAAATTGGCAGAGCTTTCATTTGGGTGAAAAAAAATAATAGCACTAATTGGCCATCTCGACATATACATTATTTGTAAGCAATAAAACGAAAATGTAAGTAAGAGAAAGTAATTCTGCTGCTAATAAAATTTAAATGATTCGAGCACAGGTAAATAACCTCTCACCCCCACCATAGACCACAAATCAAACGGTGATGGGTAGGAACTTGCCATCATTTTTACTATTCAAAATGATGAGATCTCGTCTCATATCATCACAGCTGCTACCTAAAATGGCTTATTCTCACCCTCACACAGAAACAACAGGCTAATCCCAAACGAGGAAAAACATCGCAGTGAAGTCACAAAATCAAATCAGCATGGGGTTCCCTATAAAAAAAAACCAGCTCACTAATAACTATATAAAGCTCACAGCATGTATCACATCGTGATTTAATAGGCAACTAATAACTAAAGCTAAATTCCTCTCTTGCTAATGACACCCCCATATGTCATCATTAGCACAAAATAAACCAAACAAGAAGTAATTGAATTGAACACACAGGGCTAACAGGAATTGATTACAGGCCAAAAAAACAGGCATAATAAACTAAAGATTTTAATTGCTTTCCCTGTTCTGAAGAAGAAGGGCTAAAGCATGAACCTAATCCTAATGCTAGGTCATATCAACGGGATCGAGCGGGGGGGCATTCACAAATCGAAATGCTGAAAGCTGATTTGTTTCCACAAATGGGGGGCAAAGAAAGAAAGAAGCCGCTCCCAATTCCAGGAACAAACTAAAAATCCAATTCCACACTAGGAAAACGGAACGCGTACAATACAAATCGCGTGGGGGGGGGGGAGCTGGTCGGTAGCCTCGAATACAGCTGCTTCGCGACACACGGGTGGGTGGGTGGGTGGGAGGAGGAGGGGAGGACTCACCTGAGATCGGCGGTGGAGGCGCGGGGGTGGTGCCCACGGTGGGGTGGGCGGAGGAGGAGCGACCCGGCGGTGCTGCGAGCGAGGCAGGGAGGCGGGACGAGGTAGATGAGGAGGGGGAGATGGTGGAGAGGCGGCGGTGGAGGGGGACGCCGGGCTGACGAGCGGGCGGCGAGAGGCAGAGAAGAGAAGAGAAGAGAGGAGGGAGAGAAAATGGGGATTTGGTGGGGATGGCATCGAATCGAATCCAACGGAAAAAAAACTCTGCAGCAACACTGACCGTCCGATTGCCTTGGTTGTGTCTTGCTGTATTCGTTTGTCACTTTTGGAGTATTTATATTCTCAACTCGCTTCCCAAACAGATTTTTTTATTAAAAAAAATCTGTAGAAAAATTGTTTAAAAATCATATTAATTTATTTTTCAAAAAAAGTTAAACTTAATTAATCATGCGTTAATAAGTCGTTCTTTTTTTCAACTATAACACTTGAACACAGCTTAACAGGGAGACAATCAATCGGTGAAAACGGAAGTCTTTCTTTTTTTTTTCTAATGAGTAATCTGATAATGTTTTTTTCTTAAAAAAAAGTCTTGATTTGATTCTCTTATTGTTGTGTTTTTTTAATTATGGTTATACTTACAAAGCTAGAGATTAGGAGAAACAGCCGACGAAAATATAGAGAATCTAAATTACATATGTATAGACACTTTAGAATATGGTTGAATATAGGTTTATTTTTGGGAGTTGGAGATACTGGGAGTAGTTTATCATAAAACTCTCCTCAATTATGCCCAACTGTTCTTTTATATTGAAACAAATTTCATAAAAAATAAAACCGTAGGAGTTAAAGTACGAAGTTTGTGCCTTACATTTCTATTAGTAATGTCTTTGTGTTTAGAAAGAGTAATGCATTCTAGATTTTTTTTATTAATCTTTACAAACAAACATTTCAATATTTTTTAGCTGACATATAGTAAGGGGATTCAATGCTCCACCTTAGCGAGTGTCTATCTCTACTCTTATAAAAGCGTGGTCATCCTCCTCTCATCTTCACCACATGTAGTGCACCATTTCCATGCCTCCGGGAAAAACCAACACAATTCAAGAGAAAAAAGGGCTCAATTTAATTGCACTTTTTTTTAACAGAAAATGACATCAACATAAAAGCACAAGTTTCATTGGAAACCGTTGGAAGAAAAACAACCTCACATAAAACTGTATAGTTTGATGAAAACCATGTGAATCCACATAAAAACCAATTCACGAGAAAAACTGGATAGAAAACATTGTGAATCAGGATGAACAATCCTAACATTACTTGAACGACAGGTTGTTTTTTTTTTCAAGATAGCTTTAGAACACTTGCAAATGCTCCACCATGGAGGGTGACCCTGCTAGAGTCACACCGCTCATTCATGCATATATGACATATGATGGAGAGGTGATATGGATCGACTCGATGGAGTGTAATGTGGGTGAATTGGATAAAACTACTCTTGGTGATCACTCAACAATATCAACTAGCAGGGAAGATTATTGTACATGTTTCTCAACTAGGATAACTCGGAAATTACTTGATGAGATCAACTAGCATCGGAGGTTACTCTAAGGATTTATCATGACATGTCTATTCATCAACCAATCTCATCACATTAGATATCACCCCCTTTATTTAGAGAGGGAGAGAGACACTTAATACTTGGACTTTTAGGATTACTACAACGATAATGACACCCTAATTAATAACCTTATACTTTAAGATACACATGACTTGAAAACAATCGCATAAATAAAGAAGAAGCTAAAGATCCTTTGAGTTTCGTCCACCTTTCAAACCATAGATAATTTAGCAATGGAAGGTGTTCATACCAACACAGATTTAAAAGCCAATGAGATGGTTTTGGGCTATATGAAGAGGTGAGGCAAGATGGATGTTGGTTTCAAATGGTGTCAGAGTGACTTCTGTAGGAGGCAATAGCTCATGAAAAGGTGTGGTCCAAGAGGGAAAATAAAGAAGGGATGAACTCACCCAGGGGCGGACACAGCTATTGGCAGGGTGGGTCGGCTGACCCATCTACGGTCCCGTATTGCCTCACAACCTTATAACTCATTTCTAGTCTCATGTCTAACACATTAGCCGTCAATCCACTTTCAAACCATTAGATAAATCAAGTACTTCAAGCAGGGTAAAAAATATTTATGGAAATTCACGACCGAATAAATATTATTTCCGTATAAGTGGTATCATTGATCGTTCCCCATTTTTGCCATACATAAAATTCAAGTTTTTTTTCTATTTCTTTAGCACCTAGTCTATACTAAATAGTTAAATTGGTAAATATATTAAAAAAGGTTCATTTTACTTCCCGAACTATTTTGGTTGGAGCACTGGGTTACCCTTAAAAAACTTTTCGGCTTATTTTACACCTGAAATTATTGAAGGTGGTTCACCTTACTCCCTAACAATATTTCTCATTTTTTATATCTTTATATAAGTCATATTTGCACTGAATTTGATAGGATTGGTAGATCCATTATAACCTAATTCTTAAATTTTTTTTATCATTTTTTTGCATAGGTTGGAAGCACTAATTTTGAAAATATTTTAAAACTTTGGTATAAAGAGAAACGAAGAAGGAAAATACGATTAAGCATAAAGCCTACCATTTTTAATAGTTTAAGGGTACATAAGAAAAAAATATTTTAGGGGTTAAGTGATCCAATGAAATAGTTTGGTAGAGTAAAATGGACTTTTTTACATATGAAAATTTTGTAAATCGTTTTTAAATTAATAATTTTGGGTTCGACCATTTTCATCCTGAATTTCCAACATGAGGTCTCCATCACTGTCTCATCTTCATGACTGTGGAGATTATGGGTACCCCATACCCACACGGCATGGTTATCCGACTAGTTATAGGGGATAACTTATATATATAAAATATGTAACGGATCATGACTTGGGTATTACGTTTCCCTGTATATTATGGAACGGCCTAAAGTCCTGGTTTGATAAGATTGCAAAGTAGATTTAGGAAACCGATACCGTATTGGTTAAGGTTTCTATCTTGTAATCCTGCCCCCCATCCTATATAAGGTGGGCAGGAGGCCCTCTAGGGGGCATGAGACAACCTGATCGTCAGATCAATACACACCCGGCAGATTCAAATCCCCAAACAGGAGTAGGGTATTACCTCTCATTGAGAGGGCCTGAACCTGTCTAAATCCTTTGTCTCCACATCCATCCACTTTTAGGTCTCGTGCGCTACCCCGTTTTATTATTGCCGAATTCATGTTTCGACAGTTGGCGCGCCAGGTAGGGGCTGCGTCGAATTACCCATCGAAAAGTGTGATGGAATCAACTACAGAAGAAACGGCGAGATTAATCTCGATGGCTCAAATCTTCAGTCGGGTTCGGCGTTTTGATCTAACTGTTATTAGATTAATTTCTAATTGTGATTTGCTCTTCTGGTGTTTTCCTTGCTTTCTATGGGCTGGTCGGCTGAGGTTAAAACGGAGCTGTTGACGGCGATCGCCAGGAGCAGCGCCGACGGATGCGTTGCGGCCACCACGCCACCACGGGCACATGGGAGCAGCCGCCTATAGCTTGCTCGGAGAAATTTCACGCATGCATGAGTTGATTTAGCAGATTAACATACATGCACGATCTACCTAATCATGCATGCATATACTTCTAATTAATCTTCTAGTGTGTACTAACTAGATTAGATTAGATTAATTTTCTAATCTCAGTTTGATCTGTGATTCCTTATTTTGCAAGCGCCATGGTCACCTGAGTCTGATTCCCATCACGTAAAGCCTCCAAGTTGGATTTGATCCGGACTCGGACCCGTGATCTGTACGCACGGATGGCAGCCTGCAATCTGTCTGGTGACGTGCATGTGTGGATGCGTGTACTGTTCATGCTACAGGAGATCAATCGGCCAATCAAAAAATATATGCATGCTTCATATATGCAGACATACGTACACAAGATTAATTTTCTTGATGCTAATTAGAGATTGCTTTTCTCTTTACATGTACTGCTGGAGCCACCGTCACCGACCGGTTAGCCTTCGCCGCCGCCGACTGGTGTTTCCGCCTGCATGGCTGGCCTATTATGCCGCCGCTGTTGGGCGTCTACGACTTCACCACCGGCCTGCCTCCGTCGCCGCCGACTGGTGTCCCCGCCTATACGGTCGGTTGGTCACACCACCGTTCATGGGCGTCCACGTCTTCACCGACCGGCTGGCCTTCGCCGACTGGTGTTTTCGCCTGCACGGCTGGCCTATTATGCCGCCGTTGTTGGACGTCTACATCTTCACCGTTGGCTCACCTTCGTTGCCGTCGACTGGTGTTTCCGCTTACACGGCTGGCCTATTATGCCGCCATTAGTGGGCATCTTCACTTTCACCGTCGACCGCCTTCGTCGCCGCCGACTGGTGTCTTCATTGTTATTGATGGACGACTTTGTTCCCACATTGGCCACTTCTGCCATCACCAAGGGGAATATTACAAAGCTATGTCATCATTTGTTTTATTCTTTATATGATATTTTGCCTTTTCCTCTGCCTCACTACACCAATTGGTCTTCCATTGAGTAGTGAGTCGGGGGCTACAGATGTTATATCATATTTTTTAAACAATTTTCATAATATTTATCTTGATTGCTTGCGACATATTCTGAGTACAAAAGTGCCTATCGAGTTATGGAGTTCCATCTTCCTATGCTTTCCGTTTGGTTTGCCAATGGATAGTTGCCTTTAGCCGATTCCTAGCACCTGGGGGCTCGTTGGATGGACCGAGTAACGCAAGGTGCTAAGTATTATTCGGAATAAATCAAAGCATAGAGATAAGATAATTTATTTTCTGCTCTTAATAATTGCAACAAGTACCCGAGTAGTAAACCTCCGATCCGTGAAACTTTGTTCCATTACTGATGAACTCATGTCACTCATATGCATGTTTGTGAAGTGCTTAGGCCGAGTCCCAGTGCTTGGTGGCTATGACTAGTCGGGCCGAAGTGTTTAAACGTAATGAGTCATCTGCTCGGGGAAATCACAATTAACAAGAGAAGAAATAAATATTTTAAAATACTTGATTTTTTCTCGAGTATTATATTTATATCAGATACTACTCATCCTATATGTTTGTTCTGCAGGATCCAGATCCAGATATGCATAAAAGGGATTCATGGCTTTAAGCTTATCTCTTACGCTCCAGGAATGGATCA